TATATATATATATATATATATATATATATATATATATATATATATATATATATATATATATATATATATATATATATATATATATATATATATATATAGAGTTTGAAAAATTAATGATCATCCTAGTTTGCTTTGCGAAACAAATGATTATATTTTGTATAACAGGATTTATTGTGTTGCAGAAGTCATTCCGATCCCGAATTATCAGCTAACCATGCACAGTGGAAATTAATGCAGTAAGATTTAATTAATAAGTTGAATAGTGGCAAGCAGATGTAACATATCGCATGCGGTTCATTGCTCAAGCTCATCAGGTAACTACATAAGCAAATTTTCACGAGAATTCAATTTTGAAAGTTGCAGATTTTTAAAAAACCAGTGAGATTTGTCACAGTTGAGTTCAGTTGGAAATTTGAACTTTGTTGAGTTCAGATATTCCATCAACCTTTACCTTTGTTTCCTTCACTTTCATCATCATGGCTAGATTTCGCGTACGATGATTTGGGAAGGGCTTTCTATCCACGCTTCTTGCGAATGTTACGAATATGGGTGTGTCATTTGAGCCCGCGCAATAGATTTTTTAGATGAGGCATAGCGTGCGCGGAACTAGCCCCACCCTTTACTTTCAGGATTCATCTGCCAGAGCCTAGCGAGCCAGGACGGTGACTGTGAAGTCCTCAGGACGTACAGAGCTAAGCGCGCTCCATCTGCCCGGGTTTGGGATTACAGTTCTTTTTCTCCTAGATGATTGCTGGGAGTTAGCGAGCCTATCCTGCCCGTCTGATCCTTCAGTTGAGACATACTTAAGGCATATGCCAGTGCCAGCATAGCTCGCAACCTCATAAGACACGCAAACTTCTCTCCCGCGAAAAGGTGTATCCATGGAGAAGCCTTTAGACTAAGTTAGTGACAAAAACAACAATAAGGGGGATGTGGTAACTCCTACTGTAATAATGTATCTGTTTGTTGCTTGCTTGAAATAGGAGCGAGGTCTTCAATGAATGCGTCATTTTAGTTGTAATCATATAAACACCTAATTTCTGTTTCCCTTTCATACATCTGAAATTTCGGGACTAAAAAATTCTGCAACTCTTTTTGTTACGTCTATTTTTCAAAAAGTCTCGAAATTCCATAACCCTTTATTGAATATCGATGTCTAAATTTTTATACTGTTATTGTTACTATTTCAGGAGAGATAGTTTGTTACTTAACGCATTGTAAACGACTTAGTTCTCTAGTTCAGTTCATTACAATTTAAATCCTTTACCAAGGTCTTAGCTTCTCTAGATTCACTTCTTTCGGGTGACTCTTGCTGTGCTATGCTTGTCTTCACTGGCGTACAAAAAATGGCTCGCAAAAAAAGTGAACCGCGAAAATATTCTAGGATGCGTTATTCTTTATCCAGTAAGTGGTAGTTACGTTTACCATAATAGCGCTTTGGCTAGTAGTAAGTTTGTGGTTTGTCTCGTTAATACAAAGATGCAAAGATGCAGAGAGATGCGGAGATTTTCTTTTGACAATATGTTAAATTTTTTTAATATTAGAATTTGTGCAGTGGGCTTCGAAGCTTGACAATTATGCGACCTAAGAACAGCGAAGGGGTGTATGATATTTGCAAAGCGGTAAAACAGAGAACATTAGTGCTGATGTCGAAAGCATCCGAGATAAAGATCACTCTTAAAAGGAATCGTGACATTTTCTGTAGTTTTAGGGTCTTCTTGAGACTCTAAACCGCCCTGTAATTATGAGACATTGCAGCGGTATGTATGCAACTTATCTTTTCTTCAACAGGTTGACAATATATCTTTAAAGATTCTCAATACTCAACTTCAGTTTCCTGCGCTTTTTCAGTGTATTTGTCTACGTATTCTTGAAGGAATTCTTTGGTCATGTTTTGTTGCAGTAGTTCATGAAATTATGTGTAACTCGCAAAATAATGTTATGATGACTGTGTCTTCAGATATCCCTTAATTCTGTCTACCAGAAGAAGGATGCATCGTAGAGAAGATGAGTCTGAAATTGGTGTCGAGACACAAATCGCCCAAGGGATGCCGAATTCGTTTCACTACGAACAAGTCAAAAATCACCGATTGAGAACAGTCTGAATCATAAATTTTAGAAAGCTTACGACACTCATACTAAATACTTCTATGTGACGACTCCTGTTTGTGACTTCTTAGTATGATTACTTCGGGATTTATTAAATACTGCATTGAGTTAACCTCAATCTCATGGAAATTCACAAATCCTAATGTCAAACCTATTTCCCTGTTGAAACAGTCTTCCAAGTCGGATCTGAGGAATCACCTCTAGGACAGTGAGAGAAAAAAAGTAGATGAGCGGTGTGGTTGTCTTGATTAGGACCTTACCGCTGCTACAGAAGTTGAGTAATATACTATATGAGAAATAAAGGGTTTTTTCCGGTGCATCGATTACCTCTCTGAGAAATCCAAAGTTCATAATTCTGGATGTCCTGGTTGATAAGTTTCAATTCAGAATAGGGAAATCTGGTAGTGCTGTTATTTATGAATCAAGAGTTCGAGAAAGTTTGTAAGCCAAACTCGATGGAGACGTGTGCCCGATGATTAAAAACTTCACTTTTTCCGCTAATATTGCTTGCAACACCAAACAATATTTTTATTGTAACAAAATTTCTTACGCTAAAAATTCCTGCGATTAGGAATTGCATTTCTATGAAAAATTTTGCCCATTTTTTGTGATTTTAAAAGATGCTAACCATTTCTCGTTCGTAGGGATCTCTGGAAGGAAAGTCCGTTTTTTCGGACTGGATAAAATCTGGGAAACATGAGGAAAAAGATGTTTACATGTATCGTTGAGCAGTTAGAATACCGGGTTTAAGTTTTGTCGATAAAGCTTCATTCCTACATTACTTTACCCTGGATGTTTCCGAAGATCACTTTCAGTGTATTGGAACTCAAAAAAGAAAGCTTTTTTTCTACTATCATAAAAAGACCAGTAATTATTGACTAGATGTTAAGGCCAAACCGATCAAATGTATTTTGGGGGAAGATACAAGCAAAAAATCGCGTCTTTCTGGATGCTGCTAATTTCCCTGGCCACCAATATTTATCAATTTCAACTTCTATAGCAAAAAGTTGACAGTGGCTTGTAATATGAATCCATTGGTGATCGTTAGTATAATGAATGCGCCCATATTCGACATAGTTTATATAGACCGATCAGTCGCAACAACTGTTGATGGCACACCTTACTACTAACAAATGTGATGTTTTCTCAATTGACACCCAATGAAGCGTGCATAATTTGAATGAATGGATTATATGTCGTATTACTAAGTGGGATATATTTCTAATAGACTTATATTTGCAACGATGTTATCTATATGTTTGTACTTCTTTACGGTGTCACGGGAGAGAAGCTTGCGTGCCCTAATCAGGTTGCTAGCCATGGTAGAAGTAGCTTATGCTTTTTGTCTCCCATGCTAGACAGGTCTCAAGTGAGAGGTTAGGCAAAATATTTCTATGGACAAGACGGTGCTATCCTCCATGTATCCATCCTAGAGAATGACAACTCTAATTGCAAACCTACCTGAGGGTGATATGTTTGTTGGTACAAGTGAGCATTTCAAAGTTCCTTGATGCAAAGTGATCAGTAGGGAGTGATCTACTGTTTGACCTTTAACCCTTCATCTTCATGAATCATCTTAGTACTGTAATGGAGGGCATGGTATCCTACCTTTGAAGATGTGCAAATGTGAGACGAACGAAGCGTCGGTGATGAAACCTCACCGAATGGATCGATAGCTGTAACCGTTATTTTCCCATACACTTTCAGTATGGTCTTACCTCATTATGTAAAAAGTGCGCCTTAAATGGTATGAAATATGAGTGTGGTGAGGAGGCCTTTATAACTCGGTAGGGCTTTTTTCTGAGAAGAGGGAGGAACAGACGTGGTAATTGTAAAAACTGTAAGAAAGCATAATGCTGTAATTCCCACGCTATTTTTGAGATTTATTGTTGTTGGAGAGGAGAGGGCTAGTTTTGTGATGAAAAGTGAGAAGAGGGAAGGCCGACCTGCCACTGCCCCGTGGTCTTTTCCGTTCGGTGCCATTATGCTCAGCTGAGCAACACATTGCACGAACAATGGTTCAAAGCAAAATAAGAGGAAGGAAAAACAGGCTGTGGGAAAGACAGTCCAGAAGGAAGCGTCTAATTGCAATACTCATTTTATTTCGCACTACGAAAACCTTCAATCCTCACATCTCCCTTCTGTCGTTGCTTTAATTTCATCTGATCTCCTTGTCTTTTTCCATCCTGATAAGCGATAAACTTAGAATCCTACATTTCTTCCCTCTCACAATATTTTTTGCTTGTAATGCTAATGGCTGATAGAAGATGAAAGAGACACAATGAACTAACTGAATTGGGTGGTTAGGTCGATTCCCACAGCTATTACTAGGCGAAGAGCATAGACCGTCTTCCTCCCATCATTATAACTATAAATGGTGCCCATTCAGTATCCTGATTGCTGGCATATTCACTTTTTACCAAAAAATGATATTGAATCACTAGGATATGAGCTCTACGAAGTGGCTGCAAATAGTGGTGGTAGGATTGACATTAACATAACAAACAATTGCCACTAATTCGCAACGATGAGGAAATTTAGAATAGCTCTTGATAAAAAAATGTTTCAGCGTGGGCACTGTCGCTGTTTTATCTCACAGTTCTTGCACTGATCCACCTTTCGATAACAATAACGAAGGGAAAAGTCGACATGAAAGTAGACAAAGTAACTTGTTGGAAATGTGTTTGAATAAACTTTGCATTACGACCCATTTGACTCAGTTCACTTTAGATGTAGCAATTCTATCATTTGTGAGTTAGCGCAGGAGTCGCGCTACTGAATTCCTCTCCTTACACTCGTTTTTAACGAAACAGAGATGAGAGCGACAATTGTTTCGATCAGTATCACGCGAGGGATTGTTTATAATCCATTAAGTTATCAATTCAGCTATTCCGTGAATGACATTCGTCTCAAAGTTATATATATTGAGTATTTTGCCTACATTAGATCTGCATGGAATAATAAAAAAAGAAAAAAAGGAAGAAAAAACTAATGAAAATAGTTCAATTTTGCTTTATGGAATGGACATTTCGATGGATGGATTTTCTGTGCTGATCAGTTCCGAGCTATTTAAGATATGAGTTATTTTCATTCAAATGCCTTTTATTCGGGATTTAATTCTCACATTTTTCAAACTTGAGTTTCTATTCAAAGTTCTTGATTGTAATTAAGCGAACTGAACTGTGTTAAATTGGCCAAGAAAGGAATAAAATCTTTAGTTCTTGATAAATAAATGGTTCTTTTGTTCTTGGTCTTCAGTTCTCAACAAATAAATCACGATTCCCACCCATACTTGCACCGATTTGTTCTAGCAAATAATCCCTCCGAAATTTCAAATATGATATAATGTGGTGACAGACGACAATCAATGTGTAGTAAAATTACATGTGGTGGAACCACGCGTTGATTGCGTTGTTGTGGGAGGAGGTCGTGTCGGTACTGCAGTGGAAAGGGCATTGGTGCGTTGTTCCCCTGTCTATGTAATTTTAATCGTATTATCCGCCATGCTAATCATGGGAACCGACATTTCGCTCTGAGAAACTACTGCCCCTGCTCATCATTCATACATTTCAAAAACTGGCACAGCAAAGTGGACTATCTATACACGTCTTCTGCCTCTCAGTTGTTTTTTGGTTCATATTGTTATTGGTTCATTGATCTGTCTTGTTTACTTAATCTTTATATATTCCTGACCATCAAAGCACCGTTAGTAATGTCAATAGCCACGATTTTAAAGTGCTATTATGTACATCCTTTGACTATATATTGTATACCGATGAAAATCTAACCTGAAAAGCATTTATTATTTCGAGAGATACACAAGAAAGCGTATTATGTTTTTCTCAACTTTTTTTTCCAAGACATTTTAGATCTTTTCGTTACCTTGCAGTCTATTGGAGGAGTACACATTTGCCAGTTAAATTTGGACTGGGAAAGACCGCTGTTTAGGTTTCTAGGAATTTCTCGGCGTTACCTTTCCGTAGAGTGAAAATATCACGTACTTCAAATTCCAATCTGCTGAAGTGCAGCTCCATTTAGCTTATCAGAAATGTTAGACTAAAGGTAGTCCAACAATAGATCTTACAGCAGTTATGAAGACATTATATTTGGTATCCTAAAGTACTCTCAAAATTACATATCATGATATTAAAAAGGAAATTTCTTAAAAATTTCTTAATATCAATTCGAGAAAACGATAGGCCTAATTGTCAGCATGTAATGAGCACTTCTAAGTCAGGAGTGTTCTCAGTTATTTCTTCGCACGATCCATTGTTTCTCTCACGCTTCTTTGCTAGATATGTATTGGCAATTGTTGAATGGACACCGTCCACTTCCCATGTAATTACAGTCCATCATTCATCGCCTGTGAGAAAAACCTTCCTTCTCGCACTTGTCGACAATTTCTCCCTTTTGATGATGGCCAAAAACCCCGCCTCCGCGCACCGTTCGTTTCCAACCTTGTAACATCGCGTCGTTTCGTTTACTCCTGTTTTGTCCGATAGTGGTTACTGTAGTTGGTGCTTATTAGTAGCATACAGATGTAACTAGAGTCCTCCTTTCATACGAACTGCATGATGATCAGCATCACAGTGCTTACGGATTATGAATTACTCTCCGACTCAGGATAATTGTCGATTCTTGCTCCATCAGTAACACACACGCTTCCTATTAGTTGAAAAATTAGTCAAGACGCAAGAGCATTTGGTCTTCCAGTTAGATTCAAATGTTCGTGTCAGTCCTGATCTTGTTACCATTTTTTATTTATTCAGTCTGAAGCATTTTCAGAAACAACGACATTGTCCCAGATTTTTCCAATCAAAGTTAGTTAAATGGACCACAACATTACCCGATGATTGTTGTCTGGTTGGTTTGTATAAATAAATTATCGCAGGATAGCTCATCTTCCCGCTGCTTTTTCGGTAATATGTTGTCTGAGTAGTGTTCAACACGAACTGGATCTGTTTTTTCCTTTCTCTTAACTTGTCTCGTAGCGTTTAGTGCCCAAGATCTTTAGTTGCAACCTATCCTTGGTGGAATAATTTCTGAAATAATCATTAGATATGCTTTCATCATGATGAGATTGGGAGCTCGACCCTCAGTTAGTGCAATGGCAGACTTAGTAATTTAGTTTTAAATTGCAGCCTTGCGCTTAGGAGGATTTCGGAAACGGATTACAATGTCTCACTTCTTTATTCCCAACTGTGAGACTCTTGAAATAACAAACCTTCCAAAATTTTTTGTGTACACTAATTTTTTTTTGCAGATTTTCTGGCTCGATTCTTTTTGTTTTCCAACTAATTTATGACGCCGCACTTCCTGGCGAAAATGATGGCATCGCCTTACGCTTCGCCCAGTCCACCGCAGTATCCATTGGAGAGAAAGGTTTGTTGGTAATAATTTCCTCTCGTAAAACCCGGAAATTCCGTGAAATTCAATGTTTAGGATAAACATAACGCATTTTATGTGACATATGACAGGAGAAGAACAAAGGATAGAGGTGGAAGAGGTGCAGAGGAGATTCGTAATACTGTTATACAGGAGAGATTAACGATTAAAATATAAACGTATTGCAGCTGAAAAAGCCCTTGATGGAGAAACGTCGTCGAGCTCGCATGAACGAGTGTTTGGATCAGTTGAAACATCTCTTATTACATATTTCACCAAATCACCGTACCAAGTTAGAAAAGGCAGATATCTTAGAAATGACCGTTGCATATCTCAATCAGATGCAACATCCACCTTCACCCTCTACATCATTCGGTAGGTTCTTCAGCTTGTCCGATTATGAATGTTTTCTGCTTTAGAATGGCTAGTGGATGCAATACTGTTCACAAAGTTTAATTTTAAGAAAATATGTTCCTAAGACACCGAAGGAAATATAGTTCTAACGGGAGAATTCTCTAGTTAGTTGATAAGTTTGTTGATAAATCAAAGTTAAGTCAGTTGTTTCTTTCCAACTGGTTCCGTCGTATAGCCTTAATTTAGACTGTCATTTAGACTGTCTATTTAGGGCAATACTATTTGTCATACTGTTCTAAATATCGAAGGAACTGATTCGATTTTAAAAGCTGGGCAAAGGTTTTTACGAAAAAACTGAAACCTTGATTATTTTAGACAACAATGCTATTTATCAACAGTCTTATGCAGAAGGTTTCGCTGTAGCTGCCTCAGCTTGTCTAACTTACCTGCAGAATACTCTACCGCCTAATGAGTTTGCCCCTCAAGCACAGCAGTTCAGAATTGGGCTCATACAGCATCTTCAGTCTGTGATGTCGAGTCATGTGAATGCAGCAGGTGAAGATCCAGGAACGGTTCCGCCCCATCCAGCAATTTCTTATCTCCCGACAAACTTCCAAACTCGACCACCGTTAACTGGTACTTATTTAGCTTCGAATTACTTATCAAGTCCGGCTTATCCAACCACTCCTTGTGTTGTATATCAACCGAATATTTCTGGACCCTATGGTATTCCGGTGTTACGCACAACGGTTCCTACACCCTTGCAATCAAATATCCTTTCTATTTCGAAAGATTTGGTACCGCGACCTATTGCCGTTGTCGGTGCGCAACCCACATTGTCTGGATTCTGTAGTAATCATCAGGAAAAATGCGGTGAACATTCAGAATCAACAAAAGGAAATGGAACCAAGGATAAAATTAATGGATTGGAGGAAGTAGGAACTGTAAGGGATATAAAAGTTTGGCGGCCGTTCTGAAAGTATATCGATTTCGACTGCTTGGGCTCGAATTGTTGTTTGTGCTTAGAAGTGTTACAAGTCTTATTTCAGAGCAAGTACTCGCTGGTTTAGTTTTTCGGAGAAGGGGGGGGGGAAAGTTTTTTTAATACCTCTATTGATTAGAAAGATGCACAACATATTGCATAAATTAAGTTTCGCTCTAGTAAAAGTTTTATTAATTTAAATTGGCTTAGTCGGTTTAACGCTTTTAAGTATGTTAGAAAATGAGGGAAAGAGACGCTTCCATCAACTTCGACACTGTGCTAGTGATCTATTGCCTTAGATTGTCACTCTGTCCGGTGCTTTGTATTCGTCTAGAGAAGAAGATATGCTTATGTAACTCAGGTAATAATATAAAATGTTATGCTCATTTTGGATTACTGGATTATTTGATTTCTCGCTATTTTATCCATTATGTTCTACGTTGCTTAATTTTTTAACGGTAATCTTAGTCATTTTTTAATTTGATATACTCAAATGTTAACCATTTTTTTGAATAGTTTTAAATGCACACGGGGGAGCTTTCGGGTTAATTTATTTTATGTTATTTGCAATAAACTTTTGGAGCTGCAGTATATAAACGTTTGTCATGGAACATTTTGTGGATAAGACTGCTGCAGGATCGTGATAGTATTTCATGATTATTCACAAGAAGTTAAGGAATTTAACGCAGTGGTATAAGATCTTCGCCTACACCGAGGTGATATATTTCGAGGTTGAATGCGGGGTAATGCAAATGAATTTGTGCGGTGTAAAGTTTGGCGTTCTAGCCTCCGACTCAATCTAAGTATATATCCAAGCTAAAACAAATTATATTTTATATCTCAACAAATTATACAAATTATATGTTTTAGGAGTACAAATTCTCTTCCAGAGCGATGCTTGCTATAAGAGGGTACTGGCTTTTGCGATTATAAATTTATTATTTGTAAATTTATTATTTATTTACAAGGTGTTGATGTGTTCGAACTGTAAAATTGGAGCAAAGACACAAAGCCAATATAAAAATATTAGCTAAACTACAAGCGGGGTCCTTACCATTTGGTTTTAAATAGAATTTTGCAAAATAAAAAACGATGAAGACAACTATATTTGAATTGAATTTTTTTTTCACTAGAATAATTCTAAAGTCCAGGTGATCTCGAGGTGGTCTTGAATGAAGTTCAGCAAGCGTGGCAGATTTTATTCTGCAAATTGATTCCCAATGCCGCATACCTTGTTTCGTTTTGAAGAGTGGTCGATGGAGTTTTCTTCAACTTTACACTGGAAAAAGTGGGAAATGAGCTTTATTATTGTAGATGCAAATGAATTCACCCAGCTGTTTGTTTTATTTAGCTTTGATAACTCGCAACGACCCGTCCTTCCTGCACTCTTTGTGATTCCTTGTTCCAATTTTTTTTGTTTGCCTTATTTTTCCTTCAATTTCCCATGATTTTGAAGTGCCTAAATTTGTTTGAAATAACGGTAATAAGTTTTATATAAGTTTTAGCAACTCTGCACGTCTACATGTCCAGTGACTTCTAACCAGAAAAAAGATCAGGTTCACCATACTAGGATGAAATGCTATAGGTATGGGAATATTTCGTGAAAAACTCAACGAAATTTTCCGCTCTGTGCTGACAATAACATCGGAAGACAATAACATCAAGAATGATTAAACTTCCCATTCCGTGGTTTATCCAACTTAGCGAGAGAAGTGTGACGTCTAGCATAAATTTATAAAATGCCACTGACGTGGAAGGCGTTAATGACATAGTCTTGCTGGAAGCATTAAGTTGCAACGATCTGTTTCATTTGTTGCCGCTATATCTCCATTCGAGAATGAAGTTTTACGTGCTATCTGAAATATCACCAATTTTCTTTGCTACCAAGAAGGCTGTGTAGTTCACGATTTTAATAGCTTCCAGAATTCACTGCAGTCTAAAAAACTTTAACCCGTGGAACTCCAATAGTCATGACATGGCATGCCTAAATCGCTTAGCAAAAGATGCAAACCGGAAATGTTTCAGGTCGATTCCAACTTCTCATTAAGGTAACCGGCTTAGCTACTGAAGTCCCCTTATATCTGCAGTGTACAACATTTAGAAGAAGTAGGACCTACATAAGGTTTACTTTTAAATCTATTGCTTGTGGATTCGGTTTTTCCCAATGAAAATCGCCTATGTCCTGCTGTTGCTGGATCAATGGGATTCCTTTTACTCGAATGATAGATAGCAGTATCAATGTATTTTGCAGCAATATCTCTTCTATTCTCCCCTCTCTCCCTGTGCCATTGCATGTAAAATGCGCGAAAAATTCTGAAACCATTTGATCTCATGAAAAATTCTGGAACCATTTGGTCAAATGAAACAATCTCTCATGCTTCCTGAAAGATGAATTAGTTTTCGGTTGCTGCTGAAATATCCATTTGCAATGGTGCAGTTATTGTGAAGTGAGGTGAAGAATATTTCAAGCGTAGAGTTCCAGAAAAAAGCTTTAGCTAAAAAGAAGCCATTGCTAGAGGATGGAATCAGGATTTTTCGAGTTCCCGGACATGGATGACCATCTGAAAAGTGGAGTTATGAAAAACGGAGGTTACAGAAGAAAGAAATATTCACTAAAATCCTTAATTAAGTAGGTTAGTAGGAAATGTAAAGGGAAATGTTGCGAGCAAGGAAAAAGTCGAGTTGTTGTAGTATGTAAATTAGAACTCGAAAGGTTTTAGACTTGGGCTGCTACTATTACCACTGCTGCTGGACTGTGGTCGTGGTCGACCACACGTCCCTGTCATATTTCTTTGCGTGGGCACTGTTGAATAAGTTTCCTTATTTCTTTTCCCTGGCCTTGTCCTTCACCTCATATTCGCAGATGCAGCATCGTTCACATGCTTCGGAGAAATTTGCAATGGTAGCGATGGATGGCAACAATAACCGAAAGCATAGACAAGAAATAAGTAACGAAGGGTGGACGGATATGTGCGCATGTGCCAAGCACAACTTCCCTGGGAAGTGCCTCCAGAAAGAGTTCCATGGAGAGGGCCTCAAATAATAGGCCCGTGGAATGCAATGCAGTGTCTGTGTGAATCGCATCGATAACACCATTTAATTGAACACGACCTGCAAGGATACATACACAACAAGCAGTTAGAGCCACTGACTATGATACATGATATGAATGGCGAGGAGAGAGACTTGACAGAGCTCGTAGGGAAAAAATGAAGCCCCACATCAGAGGAGGTAACGGCCATGGAGAGGAATAGAGCTTGAGGATAGTAAGCCTAGCAGTTGTCCTGAATGTATTAATTCTGCTCAAACTTTGCTTGTTGCGCGTACTAGCTTGTTAGCAGATTCTTTCCTCGCCTCCGATCAGGCAAGCTTACCATATACCATGCAACGGAGGATCGCACGGGTTGTGTGTGTGTGTGTGTGTGTGTGTGTGTGTGTGTGTGTGTGTGTGTGTGTGTGTGTGTGTGTGTGTGTGTGTGTGTGTGTGTGTGTGTGTGTGTGTGTGTGTGTGTGTGTGTGTGTG